AAGCACCCTTCTCCTCACTGAAATCATTTGATCTATTCCTTCATTCCCGCTCGCTCCCATTTGCCAGCTGTCTGCTCGCCACATCGCCTGGAACGGCCCCAGAGCCTGGCCCTGCAGCTGCTGCCCAGGACCTGCTCGTCCTTGGAGGTGCCCGTGCGCCTGCCGGGCGAGGAGGGACCGTCACCCCTGCCCTGCCGAGGGGCCAGGCGGGACCTTCCCAACCCCATGGGGGCCCTGCCGAGACCTGGCTGTCCCACGGGGTACCCGGCACCATGGAAGTGACCTGGGTGTCTCAGGGACTTGCACAGTGGCTGCAGAAACACCAGGGCCCTGTGCAGGTGAAAATGCTTCCCGGCGGTGATTCCCCGGGATTCACCGCTCGGCAGCGTGTCCGGGGCCGGCACTGCGATTCCAGGCAGCGGCTGTGACCGGAGCAGGCCACGTCTCACTGACGGAGCCTCTTGGTTGCTCCTGGTTTATTGTCAGGCTCCCGCACCGGGATGCTGCTCTGAGCGGTGCCAGAGCCCCGTGTGCTGCGCAGGGCCGTCCCGGGGCACTCATGGGTGTTCTGCATCTTCCATGTGCGTAAAAATCTCCGTTCTGCCATCCACAAAGTGGTGAATTTTAATGCAAACCTTCCCAAGGACAAAGGGGGACTGCTAACCAAAAGGAAAGAATTGCCAAAGTCATTTCGTTGATATCTAGGGGGAAATGCTGATTGTCCAGGGACCATTCTGAGCCAAATTCTCGTTTCAGAGCAGGAGCTGAGGGATGACCCCGCAGAGCAGACATGCCATAAGGCTTCCTGCAGCTGCATTTCCATGCTAATGAAGAAAAAGAGGCTTTTTTTTCTTAATGCTATCTAAACTGGTTTATTTGGATTAGCTAGCTCCAGGGGGATTTTGCCTGGATTTCTGTGCACCAAGTGCAGCGCAGGGCCGTGGGGCTGCGCGCGGGGCCCAGGCCGCGCGGTCCCCAGATCCCGGTGACGCGGGAGCGAGCGCGGGGCCGGCGAGCGCCGATTTCTGGGGCTCGGGTGCCCTCTGCTGAGACGTCCTCGCTCTCCCTCGGGCCGGCAGCCCCCGAGATGCTGCTCCCTTCAATCTACCCCTGCAGTTTGCAGGCTCTTCCGGTGCGGAAAACGCTGCCCGGCCGCTGCCGCCTCGGCACGCGCTCCCTGCCTTTACCTCGGCCATCATCCCGACACCTCCCGCCGCTCCGTCCGTGCCGCAGTTAATTTTAAGCGCGGGGTTGATTCCCAGGCACCCGGCACGGATGCCCGGCAGCCGAGCGGCACCTCAACCAACTCATGCCCTGAAAAGGGCAGTGAGGAGCAGAGGAATAAGTGGGAGCCGGTTAAATTACTGCCTTTATTGCGCCCGTGTTTGTCGCCTGCCGAGGCGAAGCTGCAGCCTGCGCCCGTTCCCCTGCTGCAGCGGAATCGTTTGAACCGGGCCGGCTGGAAATGCACACTCGTATCAAACAGCCCTTGCATGTATTTTTCATCTTCTTTCTGCAGAGGTAGGAAATCATCTTTCTTTTTTCCCCTTAGAAAAGAGAAAAAAAAAAGGAAGAAAAAAACCCTCTATCTTTAGGTTTGGTGGGAGAAGCCATTTGCAACTGATGGGTGTAAATTATGCCTGCTTAGTCAGACAAGAAAATTAGAGACTGCAGAATTAGACTCTGCTTGCAATTATCTTTACATGGAGCCAGTTTACCAGTCCTATTTGGTACGCTCCTTGGCTTCCTGATGCGCTTCCGAGTGATTTATGGTCGACCTGGCGCCCTCGGAGCGCTCCGCGCGGATGCCCGGCCGGGGCCGGAGCAGGGGGTTGCTCTGCTGCCCACGCGTCTCATTGCCCAGCCTAGGATTTGGAGCTCAAATATTTGGAGCCTCAGCACCTTTTATTTATTTCTTTTTCCCTCCCTGCATGCAAAGGGCAAGAGAAGAGCATGTTATTTCAAATGCTTGGTAGAATCAGACTTGACTGAAATTATACTGGGGATTAATTTGGCCAGCTGCATCCCATCTTTTTTTTCCAATCCTCCTGCAAACTTGGGCCTATTTCCAATTCACGGTAAATCCCTCCTTTGTTCCAGCGCACTCGGAGGAAGTTTGAGTGCTGGATGGGGAAGCAGCGGGCAGATCTGGCCTCACAAGAGTAAAAAGAAAGGAGGGAAGGAGGGAAGGAGCAAAGGAGGGAAGCTAACGGTGCTAACGCAGACCATTGCACCATTTAAATCCTTGTAATTCATGCCTGCTGGTGCCTGGGCACGAGGTTAATTTGAGTGCTTTTCAGCTTAGCTAGCAATAAACAATTTCATGCTGAAGGAGAATTGTGCAGCCCGTGGTATTCACGGGCTGAAGGCTGGAGTGTGGGAGGCTTCCTGCCTCCGGGCCACGTTACTGTCTGCTTTTATCTGGTATTTATCTGGTACTGCAAAGGTGTTAAGCAAACAGAGAAAACGGATTTCAAACTAATTGTTTTGGGGGATCTGACATGGAAGATCCTCTCCAGTTTTCCCGGTTCTCCGGAGCTGCTCCGGGGACGCCCAGGGCGCGGGTGCCGCAGCCTCTTTGCTTTGGCAGCAGCTGTTCCCGGCGTCCTGACCTCTGCCTTTGTTTTTATTTTCTTCAAACGTGAAGGAAGAAACAAGAGCTGTGCCCAGAAAACATTACAGATTAAAAAGAAAATTCAGCTTCATATAGAAGTACTTTGTGTTAGGGCTCTTCTAAGTATAAAAGGAAGAAGCGGGTTGTTTTGCAGAACGGTGTTTCTGGTTTATAAGCATTCACTGGGGGAAAAGTAATGCCTTCACAAAATTACGCTTTCTGCACTATTTTTAATCTGGCCCAAATCCCACGTTCCTGACCCAGAGGCGCTGGGGGGCCGAGCAGGCTGTGCCGCCGTCGCTCCACGCGGGGAGACGCAATCGCTTCCCTCATGGAAGCAGTTTAAAGATCAAGCAAGGAGCGGTTTGACTAGAGATTAAACGCGAAGATGCTCATTTATGAATTAGAAAGAAGGAAAAACCCTCCGAGTAGATTAAAGTCTTACAGAGCTGACTAATAACGGAGGCGCCGGGCGCGCGTGGCCGGGCGCAGGGGTTTGGTGACGCTGCGCGCCAGGGACAGCGGAGCGGCCCCACCGGCTCCCACCCGTCCCGGCACCTCCGGACCCGCTTTCCCATAGGATTTGGGCTCGCTGGCTAAGAGCAGGGCTCGGCCCTTGCAAACAAGGGGCCAGAGGTGCCCAGGTTCTGCCTGGGCTGCGTCGGGGACGCGGTGGCCTTCAGGGTGTCATTGGCAGCTGCGGCGGGTGCTGCGGTCACCAAAGCGTCGCGTCCCGGGGATTTTTGCTGCTCCGCGTTACCTTGGTGGGAAGAGGGGGCTCAGGGAGGCACGTGCAGCTCCCTGCTCCGTAGCAGGTGTCATTCATGCCAGCAGCTCCCTCCTGCTTTTATTGCCTGTACACTTTAATATCGGAGACCTGGGGAGCACAGCGGGATTAATTGCTGGCTTGGAGAATAAACTGCTCTCGGTGAAGTCAAGGGTGATCAGCCTCAGCCCGACAGTCATTTCCCAGGGGATGCTGGATGCCAAGGCACCTCTTGCTATAAATTGCTTTGGAGATACTGTATGCCAAGGGTGCTTCTTGCTATAAATTGCTTTGGATGTTTGAATATAGACCTCTTACACGCGAGCACGGCGCGAGACACCTGTGTCCTCACACTGCCGTCGTGCCCTCAGTCACCGCGCGAGCTCGGCGTGGTCCCAAGAAAGGCCTGTAGTAACTCAGAACTAAATGCAGATTGACTCCCGTTATTTTGTTTCATGTTCGTGCACCATTTTTGCCACTTTTGAGAAGGTTGCTGCAGTGCAGGGCGCTCCAAGGTGCCCGCTGGTGCGTCGGAAGCATCAGCACGTGGACACGGATCGGTCCTTCCTGCTCTCCGAACCTGCTCGACCACAAATAGCAGGCGAGGAAGGCACTCAGCCCCCGATTAAAAGCAGCACAACAAGTCTAATCTCTGGATGCAGGGAGGTTTGCACTGTCAGCACGGTTTGATCCAGGTTTTCAAGGCAAAATTGAAATCGTTCTTCACTGGGCTCAACACATTGATCTCTAGCAAAAGAGCACTTGGAAATAACCTCCCTGAGCAAGTGTCACCCTTCCTCCTCCAAAGCATCCTCCTCCTTGAGAGGGGCAATCCCCAAGGATGCTCAAAAAGCAGGAAGGAGACGGAGCAGA